GGCGGACACTCAAGCCTTCATTGCTGCTTGTACGGTATGTGCACGAAGTAAGAACTCCACCCAGGCCAGCGCTGGTCATCTACGACCTCTGCCAATACCCAGCCGGCCCTGGTCCCACATTGCATTGGATGTTGTCACTGGACTTCCCCCCTCGTCTGGAAAGACTGTCATTCTTACTGTGATTGATCGTTTTTCTAAGTTTGCTCATTTTTTGGCCCTACCTAAACTGCCCACTGCCAGAGAGACGGCTGATATTTTGGTTGAACATGTGTTCCGCTCTCATGGTCTACCCACTGATATTGTCTCTGACAGGGGTCCCCAGTTTGTCTCCCAGGTATGGAAAGCTTTCTGTAAAGCTTTGGGCATCACATCCAGCCTGCCCTCTGGATATCACCCCCAGACCAACGGTCAAGCCGAGAGAGCGAACCAGGAGATGGAGACCGCTCTCCGCTGTGTCACAGGGTCTAACCCTGGGTCATGGAGCTCCATGCTCCCCTGGGTGGAATATGCTCATAACACCTTGACTAACGCTTCCTCTGGTTTGTCTCCCTTTCTGTGTGCTCTGGGTTATCAACCTCCCCTGTTCCCTTCTCAAGAGAGGGAACTGGCGGTACCCTCGGTGCAGTCCCACATGCGCCGCTGCTTCAAGGTCTGGAGGAAGGCCAGGGTAGCTCTGTCCCGAGCTTCGTCGTACTTGCAGAGGCAAGCCAACCGTCACCGGTCCCAGGCTCCCGGTTACTCTCCTGGTCAAGAGGTATGGCTTAAGTCACGTGATCTTCCATTGAAAGTGGAGTCTAAGAAGATGGCGCTGCGTTTTATAGGACCGTTCAAGATACTGTCTATTGTTAACCCCTGCGCGGTTAAACTACAGCTTCCTGCCTCCCTATGGGTTCATTCCACTTTTCATGTTTCCCAGATCAAGCCTGTGTCGGTTAGCCCTCTGTGCCCGCCCTCTCGTCCCCCTCCTCCGCCCAGGATCGTGGGTGGGGGTCCTGTCTACACTGTCCGGCGACTTCTGGATGTTCGCCGCCGGGGTCGTGGTTTCCAGTACCTGGTGGATTGGGAGGGTTATGGTCCTGAGGAATGTTCCTGGGTTCCCAGGAGCTTCATTGTGGATCCTGCTCTGGTCCGGGATTTTCATACGTTACATCCGGAAAACCCTGTCGGCCGCCGGGTGGCGTCCGTAGAGGGGGGGGTACTGTTAGGCCTACAGCTGCTAGGTAGCGCTCTCTCCCTCCCCTCTGTCTGTTTGATTGCAGGAGTGAAGTCTGGTGTGTGGGAGTCAGGGTTCCAGCTGCAGCTCATTCACCATAATCACCTCAGCCTTAAAGACCCGGTCAAACTTGCCACTCATCGTCAGATCATAGTCAAGACGACCATGTTAGTCTCGCTGTTGACTCAACCTGCTTGTTTTCGCTCTTTGTGTTTTTGGCCTGTTCTATTTAATTTTCTCCTGTGCCACAGATTATTGGAACCTGACTCCTGCCTCCGCTTCACTCCTGCCACCACCATCCTGCTTTCCACTACCGGACCTCCCTTTTGGACTCACCACGGACACTAGGACGTTACGGTACCACTCCTGCTCAGAACCTGGATCTGTTACCCTCCCTGTAAACCGGGACTTGCTCTTCCCCTATTTTTGGAAACCTGGACAATTGCACGTTGTAAATAAACCTGTTAAACCTTCTCTGGCTCGGTGTAGTTGTCTGCATTTGGGTTCATATCTAGTTAAATCGTGACACCTTGTTGTGCTGTGCTCACTTGAATAGGAAGGTGGCGCGGCGGTCCTTTCGTTGGCAAATTTTGTCATCAAACTTTGTCATCAAAGTCTGAAATTCTCTGGATTTATGGTGCTTTCAGGACAACTGGGAACTCTGGAAAAAACAGGGTAGAATCATGATGACGTTGGTCGTAGCTCTAGAAAGAGGCCAGAGTTCCCGACTTACAATTCCGAGTTGGATGACCGTTCAAAACGTATTTTCCCAGTCGGAGCTAATTTCTTCCTGAGTTCCCAGTTGTCTTGAACTCACTGAAGTCAGATTTCCCAGTTCTGAGTTAACAGTTGTTTTGAGTGCGGCAGAAATCATGCTGGATTGACAGCATGGCCAATGTTTCATGTTTATTATTTTAAGCTTGGAAAAGAGACCCTTAAACCGAGAATTGGGACCACACACCCATTCCACTGAATAGCAGGCTAGTGATTGCTTTGCAATGCTTGCAGTTAGCCACTGATTCCTTCCAAACCACTCATTGTTGAATTTGCGATTTCCAACTTGTTGTGTAATGTTTATGTCCAATGGCCGATGCGCACCAATACGTTTTATCTATAATTTCTCTTCATATGACAAGGATTAAAAATGATTTGCTAGTAGATTGTCGACTTGATTCATGATGATGACTGCTAGCTAAGATTTTGAAAGTATGATGTTGACATGATCAGTCCAATCAAAGCTAATGTAGATATAATGAGATTTGTCGTCATTTTATCTGTGGCCAATGACCTTGAGGCTTCTTGGATGGGCACTTCTAATGTAACTCTATGGCAGCACCCAAGGGGCTTGAATTTTCGAGCTCTACCCTTAGATTTGGCAGTGACCTAGTGTCCCCATGAGTGACAGAACACTGAGCCAATCACCGCTCTACTAGAGAACATTACCAAACCCTACCCTCCTTATTTTCCGCTGGCTGCCCCACCACCACAGAAAGCACTGAGCTAGGCTGAAACACCTGCATTTTGGAGCTGCCTTACTCAAGAAAGCAAAAAAAGAGACCATGTTTGTATGGAGGCTTTATTAACTCAAAGATACAGTGGGGAGAAAAAGTATTTGATACACTGCCGATTTTGCAGGTTTTCCTACTTACAAAGCATGTAGAGGTCTGTAATTTTTTATCATAGGTACACTTCAACTGTGAGAGACGGAATCTAAAACAAAAATCCAGAAAATCACATTGTATGATTTTTAAGTAATTAATTTGCATTTTATTGCATGACATAAGTATTTGATCACCTACCAACCAGTAAGAATTCCGACTCTCACAGACCTGTTACTTTTTCTTTAAGAAGCCCTCCTGTTCTCCACTCATTACCTGTATTAACTGCACCTGTTTGAACTCGTTACCTGTATAAAAGACACCTGTCCACACACTCAATCAAACAGACTCCAATCTCTCCACAATGGCCAAGACCAGAGACCTGTGTAAGGACATCAGGGATAAAATTGTAGACCTGCACAAGGCTGGGATGGGCTACAGGACAATAGGCAAGCAGCTTGGTGAGAAGGCAACAACTGTTGGCGCAATTATTAGAAAATGGAAGTAGTTCAAGATGACGGTCAATCACCCTCGGTCTGGGGCTCCATGCAAGATCTCACCTCGTGGGGCATCAATGATCATGAGGAAGGTGAGGGATCAGCCCAGAACTACACGGCAGGACCTGGTCAATGACCTGAAGAGAGCTGGGACCACAGTCTCAAAGAAAACCATTAGTAACACACTACGGCGTCATGGATTAAAATCCTGCAGCGCACGCAAGGTCCCTCTGCTCAAGCCAGCACATGTCCAGGCCCGTCTGAAGTTTGCCAATGACCATCTGGATGATCCAGAGGAGGAATGGGAGAAGGTCATGTGGTCTGATGAGACAAAAATAGAGCTTTTTGGTCTAAACTCCACTCGCCGTGTTTGGAGGAAGAAGAAGGATGAGTACAACCCCAAGAACACTATCCCAACCGTGAAGCATGAAGGTGGAAACATCATTCTTTGGGGATGCTTTTCTGCAAAGGGGACAGGACGACTGCACCGTATTGAGGGGAGGATGGATGGGGCCATGTATCGCGAGATCTTGGCCAACAACCTCCTTCCCTCAGTAAGAGCATTGAAGATGGGTTGTGGCTGGGTCTTCCAGTATGACAACGACCCGAAACACACAGCCAGGGCAACTAAGAAGTGGCTCCGTAAGAAGCATCTCAAGGTCCTGGAATGGCCTAGCCAGTCTCCAGACCTGAACCCAATAGAAAATCTTTAGAGGGAGCTGAAAGTCCGTATTGCCCAGCGACAGCCCCGAAACCTGAAGGATCTGGAGAAGGTCTGTATGGAGGAGTGGGCCAAAATCCCTGCTGCAGTATGTGCAAACCTGGTCAAGACCTACAGGAAACATATGATCTCTGTAATTGCAAACAAATGTTTCTGTACCAAATATTAAGTTCTGCTTTTCTGATGTATCAAATACTTATGTCATGCAATAAAATGCAAATTAATTACTTAAAAATCATACAATGTGATTTTCTGGATTTTTGTTTTAGATTCCGTCTCTCACAGTTGAAGTGTACCTATGATAAAAATTACAGACCTCTACATGCTTTGTAAGTAGGAAAACCTGCAAAATCGGCAGTGTATCAAATACTTGTTCTCCCCACTGTATATATATATATATATATTATTATTATTTTTTTACATTGTTTGCAAACTGATATGTGACACGTATTAATGCCCAAACAAGATGCAAAACAGGCAACCCCCATTTATTTATTTATTTGCAAAAATGTGGGGCTCAAAACAAGGTGACACCTGCCCTGAATGACGGGTCGCCACTGAGATAGCCTCAATGGCGATGCCCGTACTGTCACAGGCGCAGAAACAAAGATGAGTCCTCTATCTATCTCTATGGACCTATCTCGGTTTTGCATAAACAATATCCAAGGCGTGGTTGATATTCTTGACAACGGCGAAGGCAAGAATGTTGATGTAGGTCTATATACATTTTGCTACACTCTGTCAGACTGCATTACGTACTCTTGTAAGGACACTCCCCCTTTAGGGGTTAGTTGTACAACAAGAGACACGTGATTCCATGTGCGTTTCATAAGGTCGGAGAGCCAGCGATGCCTTGAAGTGAGTCCGCTGCTCTCCTCCTCTACAGCATTTTGTGACAATGCACAGCTCGCGACCGTCCTTCATCTTATATTTTTTAGAATTTTAAAAATAATTGTCTTGGAGCTGGCGCGATGTTTTTCTCGTTGGGATGGGTGACAGCTCTAGTGGCTGGCATTTTCTCCCTGCACTTTGTACAGAAACTGTGTTTCCCTTACTTTTGGAAAGATGTTTTTTATTTAGTGAAAGTCATCCGATACGGCGCACGTCTGGAGATATTCAAAATTACTTCAAAAGTTGACACTATCATTGACAGATTCGTCCAACAGGCAGAGCGAATTCCCACAAAACCTTTCCTTATATACGAGGGAATAACGTACACCTATCAAGACATTAACGAGCGGAGCAACAAATTGGCCAATATCTTCCTCGAACAGGGCAAGTTGAAGAAAGGGGACTCCGTTGCGCTTCTGATGAACAATGAGCCCGACTTCATTTGTGTTTGGTTCGGATTGATCAAACTCGGATGTTCAGTGGCTTTTCTAAACACGAACATTAAGTCAAGATCGTTGCTACATTGTTTCAACTGCTGTGGGGCCAAGACTCTTGTTGTTGGTGCAGGTAAACATTATATAGTCTACATGCAGTCGATGAGTGTCGCTTACGCTGTTTCGGCCAATCGGTAGTGTGACATAATAATTAGATAATGCATGCTATTAGCCTACCACACGACCGCCGTATTGTTTTAGATGTATTTATTTATTAAATGTGTCAGTTAGAAATTGAATGGAAAAGCAACAATTGTTCCCAATAGTTGTAGGCCAGACCCAATATGTTTTGAACGCCTGGAATGCTCCACCCATCTGTCATTCCATACGGTAGCCTCCCGAGTGTTGTAAAACAGGGATGCTCTATCAAATATCCTTGTGTTTACTCCCCCCAAAATCATGATGGATAGTCATGAACTGAAGTCCAATTCTACGAAGTCCAGTTGGTGATGCGAATTTTGCCACCATTGACCACCAGACATACCCGACATGAGTGAGCTTGTTAAGTCCATATGCCATATGGCCATGTCACCAAGGATGAAGCTTATTAAGTTGACTGGGTCAAATGCACAGTCACTGTAAATTATTCCTATACGTTATGGGCCGGTTTCCCAGACACACACAAAAAAAATTATGGAACAAAAAGCACTTCATTGGAGATTCTCCATTGAGCAATATTTTTAGTCCAGGACTTTGTGGTCTCATCGAACCATGTGTAAAGCAGTCCGGTTCATAATAATGGTATTACCATGTGTGCTATAATTCTAAATGGCCCCATACACTTTGTTTGATCAGCAATTAATGTCTTCATCATAGACGCCGAACATTTTAGTAGACGCTCTTATCTGTTGCATACATTTTTGTACTGGTCCCACGTGGGAATTGAACCCACAACCCCTGACGTTGCAAGCGTCATCCTCTACCAACTGATCCACACAGGACCATAATTCAGATAGGGTTTAGTAATATAGCAGAGTATTGACTTTTTCCAACGTATCTATGGTGCTGCTGTTGCCTGTCACTCGACTCTGTCTCAGTCTCCTCAAATCTTCCTTAGTAGTTTCCAGTATCTGCTAACTGTTTGGATACCAATTCAGCATCTCATTTGGGACATTGATAGTGAATTTCCCACAGGTGAATGTGTGGTCGTTTTTTTTCTGGCTGGTATACAGCACGGTTGCTATGGAGACAAGTCATGTCTCAGCTTGGATATTGGTTAAAACTGTGAAAACTGTGAAAGACACAGTTTACTGTGAAAGACACACCAGAATCCTGGAAGGAATGAAGTCGAAAATGAAGCCTATTAAGACGTTTTTTTTTTTGTATCAGAAAATATTAAATGAGTTGTGTAAAGTTGATCACTATCAGCTAAATTTGAACATCGGACATCAGGCACAATGCTCTGTCTTAAAGATGTATTAATGTAACTGCTTGAAGCTGTTCACTTCCCAAATTCAGCGGTAGTTGATGATCCGTTTGGGAAATTGCAGTACACTCATAAGTTTAATCAAACTGTCATGTAGAGTGATGTGTAGGGGTGTTTTTTTGTTGTTGGTATTTCCAGCATTATCCACTAGGTATGCTGCAGGTAGAAAATCCTAGGAATATTTTATTTAACTGACAATCAATCAATCAATGTGTGGTTGTGAGTGTTTGGTTTGGGGTGGCCTAAGCCAGGGGAGGTGGAGCTATATTAATCTTAATTGCACAAAGCCTATTATTTGGCAGGGAATACTATTTTTAGATCAGTGACGCTACACCTCACTTTGCGCCAGCTGATCCTCTCCAACAGACTCAGAAGTTGTAGCTAAAAATGGGTCAATACAATGAAACCAACCATGGAAGTATGTTTTAGCAAAATTGGGGGGTGTAGCCCTGACCGGGACTCGATCCAAGGTCCAGCGATTGTCAAGCGAGTTCAATATTTTTTTATTTGATCTTTATTTAACTAGGCAAGTCAGTTAAGAACAAATTCTTACTTACGGTGACGGCCTACCCCGGACGACGCTGGGCCATTTGTCCGCCGCTCTATGGGACTCCAAATCACAGCCTGGATTGTGGTACAGCCTGGAATGGAACCAGGGTCTGTAGTGACACCTCTAGCACTGAGATGCAGTGCCTTAGACCACTGCACCACTCGGGAGCCCCAAGAGGCATAACGAGCCTTACTTTAAGGCATTATAAAGGCTCAGACATTAGTCTTAAAGCATTATTACTGGCAGGCTTTAAATAAAGTGTTACGGAGATGTGCCCCTGCTGATAGTAGTAAGGAGCCTTGTCTGAACTAGAACAGCCCATAGCCTAGGGTGTGAGGCAGCAGTACTTCATAGCCTAGGGTGTGAGGCAGCAGTACTTCATAGCCTAGGGTGTGAGGCAGCAGTACTTCATAGCCTAGGGTGTGAGGCAGCAGTACTTCATAGCCTAGGGTGTGAGGCAGCAGTACATCATAGCCTACGGTGTGAGGCAGCAGTACTTCATAGCCTAGGGTGTGAGGCAGCAGTACTTCATAGCCTAGGGCGTGAGGCAGCTTTGATGCACAAGTACACTCCCTGGACACTTGCTTGAGTGCCCGGTCCAATTTTAAGAGTCTTTGTTATGAATTGGCCGGGGAATCAATCTCCCAACCTTCAAATCTCAGGGCAGACAATCTACCCGCTAGGCCACTGAGTTGTTGCTGCTCTGCTCTGATGGACTCAGGTAATTGTGGTTGGTCATGGTGTTGACGGCTCAGGTTGTGGGTTTGATACCTCATGGGCCACTCATTAGAAATGTGTTAAGTGTAAATCCCCTTGGCTAAAGACCAAATGACCATATTAGGATGACAACATCCTAAACCTGCTGGGAATATCTCTCCCTCCCTGTACTACTGTTTCCAATGCCTCTGGGTTTACTCAGAGGCCTATGCTGATACAGTTGATGTCCTTCATCATCAGTGACAATATGTCATTTAACGTACTTTGACAGTATACAATCCTCATTTGAGATTGTCATGCATTTCACACACAAGATAATGGATTGATGTCAATGGAGGAGACAATATGCTTTGAATATACTGGTACAGCGTTATCAGTGTGCACAAGCAAACCCTTCCCATTTATTGAACCTGGTCCCAGTCCCAGATCTATTTGGTGCATGGACAAGGCAATTATTGAGTGATTTGCCTTATTGAATCACTCATTCACTTACAATTATTCCTCTCAGACCTGTTGGACTCCTTGGAGGACATCTTGCCCGGACTCCAGGAGGACGGCATCTCGGTGTGGGCCATGAAGAACGAGAGCAGCCACACGGAGGTCCACACTCTACTGGATAAGATGCACCAGGCCTCGGACAAGCCCGCCCCGCCTGCCCTGAGGGCTGCCACCTCCCTCAAGGCCGCCACCCTCTACATCTTTACCTCAGGAACCACTGGTACGTCTATTACATGTTCATTTCTCATTAGTTACACGTTAAAGGGGAAGTTCGGGATTTTACAACTTGATGTTAGACGGTTCCTCACCCCGAAGGTAGGCTATGGGCCAGGAGAAACTGTAAATCATGGTTTGGTTTTCTAAACAGCCACTACAAACTTCAGCTATCTTTAGCCACCACTAGCTAACAATCAATGGAAGTGATGGTGGCAAAATCACCTTTAATTTCAAGCTGAACTTCCCCTTTAATTACTCATTAGTTCCATGTTAATTATTTATTAGTTGCATGTTAATTGAATTAATGACTCATTAGTTAGCACTTAATATGAGTGTTTTCATCCGAGGAGGCCCATTAGTAAGTACATTACATTTTAGACATTTACATTTTAGTCATTTAGCAGACGCTCTTATCCAGAGCGACTTACAGGAGCAATTAGGGTTAAGTGCCTTGCTCAAGGGCACATTAACGTCATTTAGCAGACGCTCTTAGCCAGAGCGACTCACAAATTGGTGCGTTCACCCTATAGCCAGTGGGATAACCACTTTACAATTGGGGGGGTGGTGGGGTGGGGTGGGGGGGGGGGGGGGGGAGAAGGATTCCTTTATCCTATCCCAGGTATTCCTTAAAGAGGTGGGGTTTCAAATGTCTCCGGAAGTTGGTGAGTGACTCCGCTGTCCTGGCGTCGTGAGGGAGCTTGTTCCACCATTGGGGTGCCAGAGCAGCGAACAGTTTTGACTGGGCTGAGCGGGAACTATGCTTCCGCAGAGGAAGGGGAGCCAGCAGGCCAGAGGTGGATGAGCGCAATGCCCTCGTTTGGGTGTAGGGACTGATCAGAGCCTGAAGGTACAGAGGTGCCGTTCCCCTCACTGCTCCATAGGCAAGCACCATGGTCTTGTAGCGGATGCGAGCTTCAACTGGAAGCCAGTGGAGTGTGCGGAGGAGGGGGGTGACGTGAGAGAACTTGGGAAGGTTGAACACCAGACGGGCTGCGGCATTCTGGATGAGTTGTAGGGGTTTAATGGCACAGGCAGGGAGGCCAGCCAACAGCGAGTTGCAGTAGTCCAGACGGGAGATGACAAGTGCCTGGATTAGGACCTGTGCCGCTTCCTGTGTAAGGCAGGGTCGTACTCTCCGAATGTTGTAGAGCATGAACCTGCAGGAGCGGGTCACCGCCTTGATGTTGGCAGAGAACGACAGGGTGTTGTCCAGGGTCACGCCTAGGCTCTTCGCACTCTGGGAGGAGGACACAGCGGAGTTGTCAACCGTGATGGCGAGATCATGGAACGGGCAGTCCTTCCCCGGGAGGAAGAGCAGCTCCGTCTTGCCAGGGTTCAGCTTGAGGTGGTGATCCGTCATCCATACTGATATGTCTGCCAGACATGCAGAGATGCGATTCGCCACCTGGTTAAGTACATGATTGTTAGTATGCCTTCACCCTAAATCATGTTGAGTTGTTTTAGTTTTTTGGTGGAAAACCAACTTTTCACCCCTGCTAAACAGCTGATTGTCCTCGAGGGAGGTCAGACTCAACTCTCGTGACTGAATTAGTTTCTCAGTCAGGTTTCCATCCAATTGGCGACAGACTTTGATTCAAATATTGAAAAATCCACATAAAAATTATACGCGCATTTCCCCATCAGATATGTGTTTCTATCAAATTGACTTGTTGCGGATAAAAGGCTGTGCTTGATGATGTTGTGCACATAAAAATGTGTTTTGTGGTTCAATTCCAATGTACCGAATAAAAAATACAAGTTAACTGGGTTTCCATAAAAAATGTATTCCACTGATATCTTGGTCACTAAAAATTATTGCGTTATATAGCGAATGTGCCCACTGGTCTTGGCAAGTGCTCTCTAGCCAACAGCTCACAAATACAGGAGGTAGAGCCTTCATGATGAGATCATTATGGACAAAAGAGCGAGATTATTTGTATTTGTCAAATGGCAGCCAAGCATCGATGATCACGTCACCAGAATAAGACCCTCGATATTTATTGGAAAGGAGCATCAAGCTCATCACCTTGCACTTTCACCACCCTGTGAAGAATATAACTTATTTCATCTGTAGCCCAATAAACTGCACGGTTTCCCGAGTCGTAGTGGGAGGACCACGCAACGTATCATTGCGTGACTCCAAGTTTGCTTCGATATGATGGTTATTATATCAATATTTGCGCATAAAAATGTTTATTTTACAGACACAAAAAGATCCCACCTTGTCTAGCGTGTTTTGTTATGTTGACATTTGGAAAGTTTACCGACAAATTTGCTGTTTTCATCAGGCCTGTTGTGACATTTTTTCTCCAACATGTACTTCACTGAACAAAAAGGTTGGATGGACTCAACTAACATGGTGTTTAGATGGGGGCTGACCGTCCTCAACTAACATGGTGTTTAGATGGGGGCTGACCGTCCTCAACTAACATGGTGTTTAGATGGGGGCTGACCGTCCTCAACTAACATGGTGTTTAGATGGGGGCTGACCGTCCTCAACTAACATGGTGTTTAGATGGGGGCTGACCGTCCTCAACTAACATGGTGTTTAGATGGGGGCTGACCGTCCTCAACTAACATGGTGTTTAGATGGGGGCTGACCGTCCTCAACTAACATGGTGTTTAGATGGGGGCTGACCGTCCTCAACTAACATGGTGTTTAGATGGGGGCTGACCGTCCTCAACTAACATGGTGTTTAGATGGGGGCTGACCGTCCTCAACTAACATGGTGTTTAGATGGGGGCTGACCGTCCTCAACTAACATGGTGTTTAGATGGGGGCTGACCGTCCTTTACCACAGTGGAATGATACAATTATATCTGTCCATCTTTTACCACAGTGGAACGATACAATGATATCTGACCATCCTTTACCACAGTGGAACGATACAATGGTACATTTTCAAAGTTGGATATGGATATTGCAGTCTGCATGACATTTATAAATCAAATAGGTCGGGGTAGGTATTTTTACATGACGTGTAGGTCTATGTTATGGCATGTTCCCAAGAGGACGATCGAACTCCGCTTTGAGCTTTCATATTGAAATGTGTTGCACACAGGAGCCATTTTGCCGTGAACAGCCACCACACACCGGGGTGAAGTTTCCCCCTAGGTACAGATCTAGGATCAGCCTCCTCTCCCCCAATCCTCACCTTTAACCATTAGAGGGGAAAATACTAAACCTACCCTAGATCAGTGTCTAGGGGCAACTTCACCCTACAGTAACACAGTTAAGAGAGGCTAAGAGTGAAAGCCATTGTGTGAAAACGTACAATGTACTGGACTACGCTACACTGCCTGATTCAGTTTGAATAACATTTTTTCCCGTGGGTTGTCGTAATGTTGGTTGATGGTTGTGTCGGTGTTGTTGCAGGTCTGCCTAAGGCTGCTGTAATCACACATCTCCAGGCCCTGAAGGCTGCAGCAGGGTTCTGGGCCTATGGGGGGTCGGAAGATGACGTGATCTACATCCCCCTGCCTCTCTACCACAGTGCAGCCTCTCTCATCGGCATCGGGGGAACCATTGAGATGGGTAAGGACAGCAGTACGGCTTTAGAACACTCTATTGGCTCTGTTCCAATACTTTAAAGATGCTTCCTTCCTTTCATATTTCCTTCCTTCCTTCCTTCCTTCCTTCCTTAATTTCATATTTCCTTCCTTCCTTCCTTTCATATTTCCTTCCTTCCTTCCTTCCTTTCATATTTCCTTCCTTCCTTCCTTCATTTCATATTTCCTTCCTTCCTTCCTTCCTTCCTTCCTTCCTTCCTTCCTTCCTTCCTTCCTTCCTTCCTTCCTTCCTTCCTTCCTTCCTTCCTTCCTTCCTTCCTTCCTTCCTTCCTTTCATATTTCCTTCCTTCCTTCCTTTCATATTTCCTTCCTTCCGCCAGCAGCATACAACCCTGCATCCCACTGCTGGCTTGCCGCTGAAGCTAAGCAGGGTCAGTCCTGGTCGGTCCCTGGATGGGGGACCAGCTGTAGCTGGAAGTGGTGTTGGAGGGCCAGTCGGGGGCCCTCTTCCCTCTGGTCTAAGGAGATCCCAATGCCTCAGGGCACTGAAGGGGACATTGCCCTGTATAGGGTGCGTCTTTCGGATGGGACGTTAAAACGGGTTTCCTGACTCTCTGTGGTCACTAAAGACCCCATGGCTCTTATCGTAAGAGTAGGGGTGTTAACCCTGGAGTCCTGGCTAAATTCACGATCTGGCCCTCATACCATCATCCCCAGCTTCCAATTGGCTCATTCATCCCCTTTCAGTGGGTGATGTTTGCACTTTCAGGACTATTCTATTGGTTTCTTTGTACGAGTCAAGCTTAATCAAACTCAGCTTATGTATTTGAAAGAACACATACTATTTGAACCCAGGTCTGTATAATAGATATACACTGAGTGTACAAAACATTAAGAACACCTGCTCTTTCCATGACATAGACTGACCAGGTGAATCCAGGTGAAAGCTATGATATCTTATTGATGTCACTTGTTAAATCCACTTCAGTCAGTGTAGATGAAGGGGAGGAGACAGGTTAAAGAAATATTGTTAAGCCTTGAGACAAGTGCCTTTGAACGGGGTATGGTAGTAGGTGCCAGGCACACTGGTTTGTGTCAAGAACTGCAACGCTGCTGGGTTTTTCACGCTCAACAGTTTCCCGTGTGTATCAGCCAACTTGACACGACTGTGGGATGCATTGGAGTCAACATGGGCCAGCAATGACTAAAATGTAAATAAAAAATCATTATGAGCAGTCAAAATGACTGCTTTATTGGTTCTAATGTCAATATTAGGAAGGTGTCCTTAATGTTTTGTCCACTCAGTGTAAAATGGTGTGTTGAGACTAGGCATTACATTTTTTCCTGTCCAATTCTTCCATAACAAATACACGATACAGTAGGTTTGTTTCTTAAGGAAAAGTTGTCTGAATTAAGGCAGTTTTAGGACACACGGCTACAATGATGTACATTGACTACATTAAACGACTCAACTGATGTGTTATCTAGAGACGTGCACAGTCCTCACAGTCAATATATTTAAATATAGACAGTAACAGCCAGGGCAACATAAAACCGTTCAGTCTGGATCAAAGTGGGCTTTTGTTCCCACACTCGTTATGAATTCTGATTACATACATAAGGTAGAAACCATCATTTTGTCTTTCCTGCGTCAGTGTTGTCACTCTACCTAGTCCTGTTTCAAGAGTGCTTCCCTGGCTGCGTCCCAAATGGCACCCTTTTCCTTATATAGTGCACTACTTTTGACCAGAGCCCTAAGAACCCTGTTAAAAAGTAGTGCACTACATAGGGAATAGGGTGCCATTTGCTACTCATCCGGTCTCTGTGTGTTTCTAATGCCTCTGCAATCACTGGCCAACCATCGCTGGCCGACCCCAGCTGATCCTTAATTTCTCCTCAATTAGCGTCTCAATTAGTGCTTTCGGAGCAGGACGAGCAAACAGGCACGTCGTGTAAACTAGCAAGTTGCTACCGAGTAGACGGTCACTATGATGACGTCCACTCAGTGAAGGTTTCGGGCCCTTTGCGGTTGTAAGAAGACCGACAGTACAAGGCTGAGGATACAGTGTTGCTGGTTAGAAATGATTTGTCAGATGTGAATGATTTCCCTGATTTTGGAGTACAATTTGGTAACTTAAAGCAGAATATGCAAACACAAAAGACAAAATGTTTTTTTTTTTTTATACCACGGCAGCTGTGGCTTCAGACCTATTTTTCTTTATGATTGGTGCACATTTATTCCAAGCAACAGCAAAGTTGACAATACAACTTTCTCATAATGCACATTTGCTGCCTGGAAAACCTTGGACAGGTCAAGGACCTCAGTCCATAACACTCAGTCCACTTTTGTAGCATATTTACTTAGTGGCAACAAGAACACAACACTTGGTACTTTGTTACCTCTGACTATCTCTGAAGGTCCTTCGATTAGGCACCGCTTGTTGTTGTTCTGAGTGAGGGTTTACTATAGTCTATGTGGATAGTGAGGGTTTAATAAGGTCTGTGTGGATAGTGAGGGTTTAATAAGGTCTGTGTGGATAGTGAGGGTTTAATATAGTCTGTGTGGATAGTGAGGGTTTAATAAGGTCTGTGTGGATAGTGAGGGTTTACTATAGTCTATGTGGATAGTGAGGGTTTAATAAGGTCTGTGTGGATAGTGAGGGTTTAATATAGTCTGTGTGGATAGTGAGGGTTTATTAAAGTCGGAAATCGAACACACAACCTTTCAATCTCAGGGCAGACACCCTAACCACAAGGCCACTGCGTTGGTTGTGTGGGTGCCTTATTTTGCGCAGAGGGAGGGAGCTCCCGTTTGACTTTGTTCATGGTGCCGGCCAGACTTGTTTTCTTTGACAGCAACTTGTTCTCCAATGACAGTGAAGTTTAGAAGTTGTCCACGGTGACATTTTCTCCCCTTACCAACGGAAGGTTCCAGAAGCCTCATCACCACATTCTCCGACACTCGCTCACCTGCTGCCCCATGTGGATATTTTCCCAGATATTGAAAGCCATTCAGCATGTACAATTACACACAATCTCACTGGGTAGCCTACTCCAAGTAGGTCAGTGTACCGATACGACTGGTTGGATTTGGTGGACTGATATAGGATATGTACCATTTAAAGATTATAATTAGAATGGATCAATACGATAGAATAGTCCACCCTGGTGATTACATATTTATGCGTCGTTCGTTTCCCCGTCGCTCATCAACTCACCCATTCTCTCCCATCATACTTTACTTCATTTATTTCATCTGTTATACTTTATGTGTGAAATTAGTTTTGGTATAGTTTAGGTTCAGTTTCGAGGCAATTACCGGGGTGATTATCAGCTGGGCACTGCACTTTCAACTGTTGGAAGAAGGAGCGGAGCAGGCCCTATTGTTGGGAGAAGGAGGGGAGCAGGCCCTACTGTTGGGAGAAGGAGCGGAGCAGGCCCTACTGTTGGGAGAAGGAGGGGAGCAGGCCCTACTGTTGGGAGAAGGAGCGGAGCAGGCCCTACTGTTGGGAGAAGGAGGGGAGCAGGCCCTACTGTTGGGAGAAGGAGGGGAGCAGGCCCTACTGTTGGGAGAAGGAGGGGAGCAGGCCCTACTGTTGGGAGAAGGAGGGGCAACGGGGGAAAACCATTACTTAAAAAATATAAGAGTAATAAATTATAGTTCCGTGTAGCTCAGTTGGTAGAGCATGGTGTTTGCAACGCCAGGGTTGTGGGTTCGTTTCCCACAGGGGACCAGTATGATTTTTAAAAAAATGTATACACTCACTAACTGTAAGTCGCTCTGGATAAGAGCGTCTGCTAAATGACTAAAATGTAAATACAAATAATTATGAGCAGTCAAAATGACTGCTTTAGCGGTTCTAATGTTAAACGCTGTCCTAACCTGACTGCTTTAGCGGTTCTAATGTTAAACGCTGTCCTAATTTGACTGCTTTAGCGGTTCTAATGTTAAACTCTGTCCTAACCTCACTGCTTTAGCGGTTCTAATGTTAAACTCTGTCCTAACCTGACTGCTTTAGTGGTTCTAATGTTAAACTCTGTCCTAACCTGACCGCTTTAGCGGTTCTAATGTTAAACGCTGTCCTAACCTGACTGCTTTAGCGGTTCTAATGTTAAACGCTGTCCTAACCTGACTGCTTTAGCGATTCTAATGTTAAACGCTGTCCTAACCTGACTGCTTTAGCGATTCTAATGTTAAACGCTGTCCTAACCTGACTGCTTTAGCGGTTCTAATGTTAAACGCTGTCCTAACCTGACTGCTTTAGCGGTTCTAATGTTAAACGCTGTCCTAACCTGACTGCTTTAGCGGTTCTAATGTTAAACGCTGTCGTAACTCATTGTAAGGGCTGTACAATTAAAGGGTAAGTTCAGTATTTTACAATTTAATGTCAGATCTTAACCCTGTAAATCTAAGCCTTTAGATTGCAATATCTACTAAGCCAACATATATAATTGTTTTAAGATGGTCATAAAATGGATCTTTTTAGCTATTTGATTTTGAATTGTGAATTTTAGGTATAATTTATTTTATTACAAAATGATTTGATGAAACATTGAATTTGGCCTTTACTGCTATAGCCCATAGAAACTCATTGAATAACCCATTTGTACATGGCAAAACACAGTCAAAAAATAAATCATTAGGAATAAGGTTTGGAAGTGTCTGTCCTATATCTATCTGAGAGATATAGAAAACTAAGAAAATAATAATTTAGTGAAGATTTTCTTGTCTGGATCCTCTCGCTTTTACAAGCCCCATATTATGGAACAGGCGCAAACTTTATGCCGGTGGAAAGAGGGGATTTAGCTGCAGCCAACGGTGGGTCTCTCTAGGATAAACACACAGGGAGCTATTCAAGATTCAAAATGGCGTCACCATGTGATCAATCGACTCTAGTAGACTATGGGCCAACAGAAACTCTAATCCATACTTCGGTTTACTTTAAACAGCCACTACAAACTTCAGTTAACTGTAGGCACCGCTAGCAAAAAACCAATGGGAGTGGTAGGGGCAGTTTAACTTAATGTCGCTGTATAAAGCGTTTAAAGGCATTTTATAAAGTATTTGTCAAGCATTTATTTACAGCTTATAAGCAATAAGATGCATTAGATCGAAGGATTTACCTGTATTTGAGGCAACCTAACTACTTCTTCATGTGTGTATAGTAAATCTTAAATCCGTAACATTTTCCTACTAGGGAATTGTCAGCTGAGTTTTCACCCTCCATTCTTTCACCCTCCATTCTTTCACCCTCCATTCTTTCACCCTCCATTCTTTCACCCTCCGTTCTTTCACCCTCCATATTCACTCAACACAGATATGGATCATGGCAGCTTTCTAACTCTGACATTTTGTTATATTTCTCTCTGTGATTAAACGTGTGCGTTGTTGTGTTTTCCCTGACCCAGGTGCTACCTGTGTCTTGAAGAAGAAGTTCTCGGCCTCACAGTTCTGGAATGACTGTAGAAAATACGACGTGACCATCTTCCAGTATATCGGCGAGCTCTGTCGATATCTGTGCAACCAGCCTAAGGTAATAATTATTCATTTTAGCATGGTTTGCCCCTTTTGCTCAGTACAGTCTTTATGCTAGTTAATTTTTCTTTCAGAGAGGTGTACAACTTTTACTTTTTTCTAATTTGTTCCTGAGAAATTCCCATCACCACAAAACTCCCCCCCCCCCCCAACTTTTCAAAAAACATCCTGAACTCCCAATGCAATAGCATCACAAGCTGACGGGGATTTGGTGATTTTTTAAATACAATTTGTTCCAATAACTCTACTTTTCCAAGGCAAGATAGTTATTTATGGTCATAGCTACTCCCCGAACAAAGTAGTGTTCGGAAAACATTGTGCCCGATTGTGTTGCATTTTCGTGGCTGTAGGACAACGGGACTTTTGTTAGGTTGTCCGTGTTCCAAATCTGTATCTGTTTCCCGTCTCCTCCCTATCTGGACAGAACAGTTCCAGTGGCTGACCAGGCCGAACAAGAGTACAGAGAGCTCAAAGAACTCTTTGTCCTCTCTCTCTCGCTCGCGCGCGCAGCGGAGGAGCGGGAGAGGGAGAGAGGGAGAGGGGGCGAGGGGAGACGCGAGAGCGAGGGAGGAGGGAGAGGGAGCAGAGAGAGCGAGCGAGAGGAGAGGCGGAGCGCGGGGGAGGGAGAGAGAGCAGGGCGCGCGAGAGAGGCGAGAGAGGAGGGAGAGCGAAGAGCGGAGCGTGAGAGAGGGCGCGAGAGAGGCGGAGGGGCGAGGGGAGAGAGTTGAGGCGAGAGAGCGGGAGAGAGTCGAGAGAGAGAGAGAGAGAGAGCGAGCGAGAGCAGAGGGGAGGGATCGAGCGAAGCAGGAGGAGAGCGGAGAGAAGGGAGAGCTAGAGAGAGTAATCTAGCTAGAGATAGAGAGAGTATCTCGATAGCTCGCTATTCTCTCTACCTGCTATATGCTCTCTGAGCCTCGATTCTCTCTCTCTCTCTCTATCTCTATCTCTTCTCTCTCTCTCTCTCCTCTCTCTCTTCTCTCTCTCTCTCTCTCTCTGTTTCTGTCTCGGCCTCTCTGTCTCTGTCATCCTAATGCACGTGGGTGGAAGGCTGGCAGTGGCACAGGCCTCTCCACTGATGGACAAAAGTTGACCCATTCAATGCGCACACAAACACACACACCCACCCACACACACACACACTCAGTCACATTCATTACATGTGCTCTTGGTGCATACACACAGGCCGTATATACTGTACACACAGGCCGTGAGGCCATAGTGACCTAAAGCACAACTGTCTCACAACAATCTCACAACAGCACAGAGGAAAATTAACCACAAACAAAAAAGAATACAAGGCACGCACACTCAAGCATGGAACGGCAGGGTGTAGTGATCATGTGCCAACAGCGGGCCTCATTATTCTGTAAGGGGTCCAAACAGATATGAATGGATGAAGATGATATTATTCAGTCTGTCCTTGTGCTTCTCCAGTCTGGCGGTAATTATTGGAAAACAGAACGCGTGAACGGATGAGCAAACGTGGGGTTGATGTCTCAAACGTGGGGTTGATGTCTCAAACGTGGGGTTGATGTCTCAAACGTGGGGTTGATGTCTCAAACGTGGGGTTGATGTCTCAAACGTGGGGTTGATGTCTCAAACGTGGGGTTGATGTCTCAAACGTGGGGTTAAACGTGGGGTTGATGTCTCAAACGTGGGGTTGATGTCTCTCATAGAAAAGCGTTGTGACACAGCCAGCTTCAGAATGTGCTGGTGTGACTGGTTCTCTGTGTTAGCCTCCGCAGAGAGAGATATACAGTGCATTTGGAAAGTATTCGGACCCCTTCACTTTTTCCACATTTTGTTACGTTACAGCCTTATTTAAAAATTAATTAAATTGTTTTTTCCCCCTCATCAATCTACACACAATACCCCATAATGACAAAGTAAAACAGGTTTCTAGAGATTTTTCCAAATGTATTACATAAAAAACGGAAATATCACATTTATGATATCCAATTGGTAGTTACAGTCTCGTACTATCGCTGCAACTCCCATACCTATTCAGAAGAGAGCCATGTGTCCTCCGAAACACGGAGGACGCATGGCTATTGGTCCAAGCCGCACTGCTTGCTTAACCCGGAAGCCAGCCACACCAATGTGTTGGAGAAAACACTACAACTGGCGACCACGTCAGCGTGCATGCGCCCGGGCCCGCCACAGGAGTCGCTAGAGTGCGATTGGACAAGGACATCCCGGCCAGCCAAACCCTCATGATGCTGGGCCAATTGTGCGCCGCCTTTTTGAGGTCTCCCGGTCGCGGCCGGCTGCGACACAGCCAGGGATCGAACCTGGGTCTGTAGTGACACCTCAAGTGCCTCTGACCGCTGCACCACTCGGGAGGCCTAAAGAAGGATTTTAAGCCTTGAGACAGTTGAGACATGGATTATGTATGTGTGCCATTCAGAGGGTGAATGGGCAAGACAAAATATTTAAGTGCCTTTGAATGGGGTATGGTAGTAGGTACCAGGCGCATTGGTTTGTGTCAAGAACTGCAACGCTGCTGGGTTTTTCCACGCTCAACAGTTTCACGTGTGTATCAAGAATGGTCCACCACTTAAAGGGCATCCAGCCAATTTAACACAACTGAGAAGCATTGGAGTGAACATGGGCCAGCATCCCTGTGGAATGCTTTCGACACCTTGTAGAGTCCACGCCCGACGAATTGAGGCTGTTCTGAGGGCAAAGGGGGGTGCAACTCAATATTAGGAAGGTGTTCTTAATGTTTTGTACACTCAGTGTATATCTGGACCAATACCCTGCGTAGCTATAGTTTTACATGTCTGGAAAAGAAGAAGGTGATCTTTCCAAAAATTTCACAGTTTTGGTTGCTTGGTGAATTACAGTATTCAGAAAGACCAGAAGTGTATAGTCATGAGATGGCGTACTTTACTGTCATGTGCTGAATGGAGAACTATGTGTCCACCAGACCTGGGTTCAAATACTATTTGAAATCATTTCAAATACTTTATCTGTGCTTGGTTGAGTTTGCCTGACTCAATGGACAATTGAATAGTCTCAAAACTGTAAGTCCTGCTCATCTGGGACTCCAGGCAGGCCAGACCAAACGCTCAAAGTATTTGAAATATTTCAAATAGTATTTGAACCCAGGTATGGTGTCCACACAGTCAATCTGAAACTTAACGATGCCCAGCTGATGGCCAGTGGTACTTTACCCCAGAAAATCACCCAGGCTGCGTTCAGTACATAAAAACGTAATAGAACGTTAAATTGAGCGGAAACGGTGCTGTACTGAACGACCAGTTGAAAAACGGGGTGGGGTTGGGGTTCAAAATGTGGTTTTTGAAAAACTGTGGGGTTTGGGGTTGTGGGTTCAAAATGCACCACTGCCCTTTAAATATGTCACTCGTTGCTTCAAGCCACTCCCCGAAAAACACCCACTGAACGGCGCAAACGTATCTCAAAGTCTGTTCAAGAACGTACAAGAATGTTTTGGGAAAACGTGTCGTTCAGTACAAACTGTTCCGCAACATAGCAAACGTTCAAGCGAACTGAACACATTCCTGATTAGCAATTAATCCCATGATGAGATAGTTGTACAAGGTCTTATGAGCGAGCTCAACAAGATGCGTCCCAAATCCCCTAAATATTGCACAACTTTTGTCCAGTAGTGCACTATGTAGGGCACAGGGTGCAGTTTGGGACGTAGCCCCTGTATTAGTGAAAAAGGGTGCAGTTTGGGACGTAGCCCCTGTATTAGTGAAAAAGGGGTGCAGTTTGGGACTTAGCCCCTGTATTAGTGAAAAAGGGGTGCAGTTTGGGACTTAGCCCCTGTATTAGTGAAAAAGGGGTGCAGTTTGGGACTTAGCCCCTGTATTAGTGAAAAAAGGGGTGCAGTTTGGGACGTAGCCCCTGTATTAGTGAAAAAGGGGTGCAGTTTGGGACGTAGCCCCTGTATTAGTGAAAAAGGGGTGCAGTTTGGGACGTAGCCCCTGGATTAGTGAAAAAGGGTGCCGTTTGGGACGTAGCCCCTGGATTAGTGAAAAAGGGGTGTGTTGTCTGTCTCCTACTTTATCACTTTTATCGGTTGTTCCCTTTTAATCCGAGTGATGCTGTACGATGAAGAAGTGTCCATTGAAGTGAGGTTGAAGGGGTGCCCCAATCCTAACCTTAATCATTAGTAGGGAAAATGCAAAACTGATCCAGGATCAGTGTCTAGGGGGCAACTTCACCCTAAACACTGTAGCGCCATGGACACTAGGGGGCAACTTCACCCTAAACACTGTAGCGCCATGGACACTAGGGGGCAACTTCACCCTAAACACTGTAGCGCCATGGACACTAGGGGGCAACTTCACCCTAAACACTGTAGCGCCATGGACACTAGGGGGCAACTTCACCCTAAACACTGTAGCGCCATGGACAATGTTTTACTTCTTCTCTGAATTAATTAGCATTAGAGAGCTGCACCGGGGTCAGGTTGTCTCCACACTTTCCAAAACCAAATCATTTTCTATACGTCACATACTTGGTAAACAATATGTGGAGACTTACAGTGAAACTTATGGGCCCTTACGAACAATGCAGAGAGAAAGAAACATGGAGAAATAATAGAAAAGTAATAACAGGTAATAATAATAATAATAATAATAATAATAATAATAATAATAATAATAATAATAAATCATAAAAAATACACAATGAGTAACTCTAACTTGGCTATATACACGGGGTACCAGTTCACCTGGAGAAGATTGACCCCAAGAGACACATGAAAGAAGGGGTGTGTTATGATGAGCCTCTGTTGGTTGTCATGGACAAAGTGGAGGTTTTATTGGTAGAAACAGTAGGATAAATACACATGTACAGTGCATTCGGAAAGTATTCAGACCCCTTGACTTTTTCCACATTTTGTTACGTTACAGTCTTATTCTAAAATGGAGTAAAAAAATTATAAAAAATCCCTCATCGATCTACACACAATACCCCTTAATGACAAAGCAACAAAAAAAAGAGTTTTTTGTGTACAAATGTATAAAGAAATACAAAACTCAAATATCACATTTACATAAGTATTCAGACCTTTTACTCAGTACTTTGTTGAAGCCCCTTTGGCAGCGATTACAGCCTCGAGTCTTCTTGGGTGTGACGCTACAAGCTTGGCACACCTGTATTTGGGGATTTTCTCCCATTCTTCTCTGCAGATCCTCTCAAGCTCTGTCAGATTGGATGGGGAGTGTCGCTGCACAGCTATTTTCAGTTCTCTCCAGAGATGTTCGATTGGGTTCAAGTCCAGGCTCTGGCTGGGCCACTGAAGGACATTCAGAGATTTGTCCCGAAGCCATTCCTGCGTTGTCTTGGCTGTGTGCTTAGGGTTGTTGTCCTGACTAGTCTCCCAGTCCCTGCCGCTGAAAAACATCCCCACAGCACGATGCTGCCACCACCATGCTTCACTGTAGGAATGGTATTGGCCAGGTGATGAGCGGTGCCTGGTTTCCTCCAGACGTGACGCTTGGCATTCAGGCCAAAGAGTTCAATCTTGGTTTCATCAGACCAGATAATCTTGTTTCTCATGTTCTGAGAGTCCTTTAGGTGTCTTTTGGTTTTTAGTCCTTTAGGTGTCTGTCATGTGCCCATTTACTGAGGAGTGGCTTCTCTACCATAAAGGCCTGATTGGTGGAGTGCTGCAGAGATGGTTGTCCTTCTGGAAGGTTCTCCCATCTCCACAGAGGAATTCTGGAGCTCTGTTAGAGTGACCATCGGGTTCTTGTTCACCTCCCTGACCAAGACCTTCTCCCCCGATTTCTCAGTTTGGCCGGGTGGCCAGCTCACTGTGTTCTTGGGGACCTTCGATGCTGCAGATATTTTTTGGTACCCTTCCCCAGATCTGTGCCTTGACACAATCTTGTCTCTGAGCTCTACGGATAATTCCTTCGACATCATGGCTTGGTTTTTGCTCTAACATGCAATGTAAACTGTGGGACCTTATATAGACAGGTGTGTACCTTTCCAAATCATGTCCAATCAATTGAATTTACCACAGGTGGACTCCAATCAAGTTGTAGAAACATCTCAAAGATGATCAATGGAAACAGGATGCACTTGAGCTCAATTTCGAGTCTCATAGCAAAGGGTCTGAATACTTATGTAAATAAGATAATTTCTTTATTACTTAATGTTTTGCAAAAAAAATCTAACAACCTGTTTTCGCTTTGTCATTATGGGGTATTGTGTGTAGATTGATGAGAAAAAAATTATATTTAATCCATTTTAAAATAAGGCTGTAATCTTAACAAAATGTGGAAAAAGTCAAGGGGTCTGAATACTGTCCGAATGCACTGTACACACACACGCGCACACACGCGCACACACACACACACACACACACACACACACACACACACTGTAGCGCAAACAATGCTGGGTGGGTAAATGGGTGTTTTTGCATGTCATCATAAACAGGACTACCAGGTTATTCAGGCAAGGTGATACAACCCCTTACATCAGCCAAGACATGCTCCATTCATGTGCTTTACAACTTAAAGGGGAAGTTCAGTATTTTACTTGTTTTTTTTATGGTTCCTCACCCTGAAAGTAGTGAAGGGGAGGAGCCATCTAACGTTACGTTTTAAAATACTGAACTTCCCCTTTAGACAGGTCCTAGTTTACTAGTGGAGTTGTTTTATTGCATTGGTCTTGGTGTAGGCTGAAGTTGCCTCTGGACACTGATCTGGGGTCAGTTTTGTATTTCTCCCACTAATGGTTAAGGTTAGGATCAGGGGAGGGGAGGCTGATCCTAGATCTGTATCTAGGGGGAAACTTCACCCAGGACCCATTTATCCTTTTTCATCCATTTCCTGTCATGCTCTCTTCCCACCAAAACCGACCTCCTTCTGCTCATAAATTAAATAGTTGTTACCACAGTATTCTTTTATATATTTAACCTCTATTTAAACAAGTCTTATTGAGATGAACTATCTTTTTCCCAGAGGAGACTTGGCCAAAAGGCATGAAATACAAAACCGAGCCAGTATAAGGAATACACACCACGGTTAAATAAAAACCAACATTGATGATGACTTCAAGTATTGAGAATATTCCTGAAGCATTTTGTAACGTTATTACCAATTATTCTTTATATTCACAGGCAATTTCTACAAAAAAGGAGTAGATCGGCATCCATATATGTATTATTTTACATTTAAGTAATTTAGCAGACGGTCTTATCCAGAGCGACTTACAGTAGTGAGTGCATACATTTTTTCATACTTTGTCAAACTGGTCCCCCCGTGGAAGTCGAACCCACAACTCTGGCGTTGCAAGCGCCATGCTCTACCAACTGAACCATTAACGGTATATTATCGTCAACCATGCTATATTATTTACGGTGTTAGTTATAAATAGAGGCTCTGCTTGTATCTAACATGCCATTGACTCCATTTCCCATCAGGCTGAGGGGGAGAAGGAGCACAAGGTACACATGGCCGTGGGGAACGGGCTCCGGCAGGACGTGTGGCGGGAGTTCCACCGGCGCTTTGGCGAGATCCGCATGTGCGAGCTCTACGGGTCCACAGAGGGCAACCTGTGTTTCATGAACCACATCGGCAAGATCGGAGCTGTGGGCCGCTCCAACTTCTTCTACAAGGTGAGAGGTTACAATATGTTTTTCCAACCTGGCAACCCCATTGTATGGAAATTCAAAGCTGGCTTATGTTTGAACAAATTAATTCTAGATAACTATGTATTTTTTAAATCAGAGTTTCCCCTTTATGCATTTTGCAGCGCCGCACCACCGATGCTAAATCGTGGCTGCCACTGCAAAAAAAAATACATTTTATAATACAAATATATATATCTGCCACCGCTGTTGAAAAATATCCTAGCGGAAACACTGATTGTATCATGCCCAACGTCGGCCCCCACTAGGGGCATGTTTCCCAGACACCTATTAAGGCTAGTCCTTGACAAAAAGAAACTGGATGGAGAATCTCTTTAGCCCTTGACATGATAGTACTAACAAACCTGGCCCCGAACAGAACAAGGGCATTGGATGCAATGGAATTCATCCTAGTAGGAACTCACTTACTCAGACACCTAGAGATAATATAACTAATTAATTAATTAATTAAGAAATATAATACGAAAACATGAACTATTTAATTGTTCTAAATAATGATTACTGCCCTTGACTGAACATTGGATCCAGAATATTAGAATGGTCTCTAAATCCGAAAGTTATTTTTTAAAGTTAATTTATCCTTATAAACCCAACGCTGGTCCCTTCGCAATTTCAATAATGGGCTGTCTCCTAAATCAGTGTTTCCCAACCCTGGTCCTCGATTACCCTCAACAGTACACATTTTTATTGTAGCCCTGGACAAGCACACCTGATTCAACTTTTCAACTAATCATCAGCCCTCAATGAGCTGAATCAGGTGTGCTTGTCCAGGGCTACAACAATAATGTGTACTGTTGGGGGTACTGGAGGATTGGAGATGGGAAACACTGTCTTAAATGACACACTATTCCCTATATAGTGCACTACTTTTGACCAGAGTAGTGGACTATATAGGGGATAGGGTGTCATTTGGGACGCAGCCATGGTCTTTATTCCTCCTCAGTGTTTATGACATCATGGACATCACTAGAAATACTAGTAGGAAAGGAATCTGTGTCGTGCTTGTTTCACTCTGTACCAGTGTGTGTGTGTCTGTGGTGTGTTGTTTGTGTCAGTGTGTGCGTGTCTGTGGTGTGTTGTTTGTGTCAGTGTGTGTGTGTGTGTCTGTGGTGTGTTGTCAGTGTGTGTGTGTCTGTGGTGTGTTGTCTGTGTCAGTGTGTGCATGTCTGTGGTGTGTTGTCTGTGTCAGTGTGTGTGTCTGGTGTGTTGTTTGTGTCAGTGTGTGTGCGTGTCTGTGGTGTGTTGTCAGTGTGTGTGCGTGTATGTGGTGTGTTGTCTGTGTCAGTGTGTGTGTGTGTGTGTGTGTGTCTGTGGTGTGTTGTCTGTGTCTGTGGTGTGTTGTCTGTGTCAGTGTGTGTGTCTGTGGTGTGTTGTCTGTGTCAGTGTGTGTGTGTCTGTGGTGTGTTGTTTGTGTCAGTGTGTGTGTGTCTGTGGTGTGTTGTCTGTGTCAGTGTGTGTGTGTCTGTGGTGTGTTGTTTGTGTCAGTGTGTGTGTGTCTGTGGTGTGTTGTCTGTGTCAGTGTGTGTGTGTCTGTGGTGTGTTGTCTGTGTCAGTGTGTGTGTGTCTGTGGTGTGTTGTCTGTGTCAGTGTGTGTGTCTGTGGTGTGTTGTCTGTCAGTGTGTGTGCGTGTCTGTGGTGTGTTGTCTGTGTCAGTGTGTGTGTCTCTAGTGTGTTGTCTGTGTCAGTGTGTGTGTGTGTCTGTGGTGTGTTGTCTGTGTCAGTGTGTGTGTGTCTATGGTGTGTTGTCTGTGTCAGTGTGTGTGTCTGTGGTGTGCTGTCTGTGTCAGTGTGTGTGCATGTCTGTGGTCTGTTGTCAGTGTGTGTGTGTTTGTGGTGTGTTGTCTGTGGTGTGTTGTCTGTGTCAGTGTGTGTGTCTGTGGTGTGTTGTCTGTGTCAGTGTGTGTGTCTGTGGTGTGTTGTTTGTGTCAGTGTGTGTGTCTGTGGTGTGTTGTCTGTGTCAGTGTGTGTGTCTGTGGTGTGCTGTCTGTATCTGTGTCTGTGTATGCTGTGCTCCTGGCACTCATCCAACAAGGATCAAAGATTACTGGGTTTACTATGAGGTGAGCCATATTAGTTTAAAACATGCCTGACTTCTCCCTAAGCGGTCTTAATGCTCTCTCTCCTCCACACTGTAGAGAGAGAGAGAGAAACAGCAGAGTCAGTGTTGTTTGAAACATGGGCCTTAATGCTGTCTCCCCTCCACACTGTAGAGAGAGAGAGAGAAACAGCAGAGTCAGTGTTGTCTGAAACATGGGCTCAGTTCAAATACAAAAAGAAAAGCTGTCCTACCTTCCTTCCTTCA